CTTTGACTGTGAGTTGTTTAGAAGTATGTTATTTACTTTCTGAACCTACTTTTTGTTTTATCTTTTTAGCATTTTTAAATTGTAAAACATATAATATCACTTCTATATGTTTTGAACATTTTTCATAACCTCAGAGAGAAACTATAGCCACCAATCAGTAATTCCCTGCTTCCCCTTCCCCTCCTAACTCCCTAGCCCCTGTTAATTCTAGTCTACATTCTGTCTCTATTCTGTTCTAAATATTTTATAGGAATATGTATCTGTTTTTTAGACAGAATCTTGCAATGTTGCCCAGGCTGGCCTCAAACTCATGAGCAATCCTCCTGACTCAGCCTCTGAATACTGGGACTACAGGTATGTGATGTCATACTGGGTTTAAGTGTAGGTCGATTTGCTGCTAACATTTCACTTAATTATGCTGTGATCAGAAAATGTGGTCTGATAATCCCATGTCTCTGAATGTGCTGAGATTTGCTTTGTGATCAGATATAGGTCAATTTATTTTCTCTCCTTTTTTCTGTCACTCTGCAGATCAAACACAGACCCTCACATATATGAGGCAAGCACTCTACCACTGAGCTAAACAGCCCAGCCCTTTTGGTCTAATGTCAGGATCTCACTAAGTTGCCAGGCCGGCTTCTAACTGGGGAGGCTTTCGTTTCAGTTTCCTAAAGAGATGACCTGTTGGGCCCAGCAGTAAGCCAATTTTTGTAATATTCATGTAATTTTTTTTTTAAAGACAGAGTTTCACTATGCAGTTCAGGCTGGCCTTGAATTCCCTGCATAGTCAAACCTGGCCTTGAACTCACAGAAATATTCCTGTCTCAGCCTCCTGAGTGCTGAGATTACAGGTGTATACTACACCCCACCTGGCTAACCTAATCTTTAAAAGACTTGGTGTTATGTTCTATCTAAGTCCATTATTGTGAGATTGCTAACCATGTCATTTAACTTTGAATCCTTACTTGATGTATTAATGATTGAGAAGAATACATCCAAATATTCTACTATAATAACACATTTGTCAAGATTTCTTTAGGACCTTATTTAAAAGGCTGAATATTAAGGATAACTTTAAGTTATTAAAGCACAAAACTGATAAGCTAGCTAAGATGATTATACCACTAATTCTATTAGTTCTTAGAAAAGAATAGTTAATACTCGTGCAATTAGGTTAATTTTGCATGTCTATGTCTGGTAATCTAAGCAACACTTTTGAAGAGAATAACAGATAATATAACAACCATTGTTAAATTCCTATCATCTTGTTTTGTAAGATATAATCTTGTTTGTTATTGGATTCTGTTTTGATAAGTTCTGTAATGTTCTGTACTTCATTTTATTTTGCTATATGTGATTGAAAGAACAACTATTGTGATAATAAAGAGATATGAAGTTCTGTACCAATTTCACTACACGGTCTCAATTGGTTTTGTTCTGTTGTATTTTACTACCTTTAAAATAATAAAAAAAATAAGAAAGCTTATTGGTTTTTTTTTTTTTTTTTTTTTTTTTTGTATGGGGATTCAAACGCAGGCTCTTGTGCTTGTCAGGCAGGTGCTTATGCTACTGAGCTATATCCCTGGCCCTATTTTGGTTTTTTTGGTTGCTGTTTTTTGTTTGTCTCTTTTTTTTTTTGAGGAACTCTATCTATCTATCTATCTATCTATCTATCTATCTATCTATCTATTATCTATCTATCTCAATGCTCAGGAAGCTGAGGCAGAAGAATCACCGTGAGCTTACGGTTGGCCTGAGTTACAAAATGAGTTCAAGGCCAGTCTGAACTGTATAGTGAGACCCTGTCTCAAAAAGATTAAAAAAAACTGCCGTAGATTCTTGGTAAATCAAAGCTTTTCAATATATAATAATCCTCTTTATCTTGGTAATGTTTTTAGCTTAAAGTCTACTTTGTGTGATGATAATATACCAACTTTATTTTGGTTAGTTTGGACTGGTACACACTCTGCATCTCCACCAGGAACTGCAGTTCCCAGGTTTACCACTTTTTTCAGCCCAGGCTGAGTCCAACTTTCTTTTTCTTGGTCTAATTGCTGTGACCTGTGCTGGCTACAGGACAGAAACCTGGTAGTCCAGGGCCTGAGAAGCGATGTGAGGAGGGGCAGCTCTCAGGAAAGGGCTTGTGAGAGGCGGGAAGGCTCCCTGGGAAGGCCCTCGCCTCTGTGACACTCCTCTGATCTGGGCCAAAAAAGCTAAGAGGGGCTGCAGGGAGGGAGGAAAATCCATGCATCCATGTGTACAAATTTCAAATGGGAAAACTCCTGAGACATCTTTCAGGGCGGGTGGGATGCCAGGGTGCATGTGAATCTCCATTGCAAAGGAGAAGACAGGCCACTGGCTCCAGACCTGACTTGTTGAATTGCCACCTGTCCAGGAGGGTCCTGAACTTGTCACGTCTGGGGACTAATGTGATTCATATGCATTGGTCCGCAATGAGTTTTATAGGAAACTGATGCACAAATCCTAAGTGAAAACCTATTGGTTTACAAACATTTAAGAACACATGAGCCTTTCTCAGGTCTGTTTTGCAAACACGTTTTTCATCCAAACTCAATGCGAAGTCCTGTTCTGACTGGTGGGGATCGAGAGATAAAGAAGCAGGCTTTGCTTTCTAAGAGCTCCCTCGTGTGTGGGTGTGCACAGATACTTTTCTCACCAAAATCACAGCTCAGGAAGCCAAGTCATACTTAGGAAACAGCTTGTTGAACATGGATCCCTGAGAAGGGACATTGGTTAGAGGACAGGAATAGCAGTCAGTGGTATCTGTGTGAGCCAGGGATATGTGGACACTAGATTTGATGTGGTGCAGCTGCCTTTTCCTGTACAGTTCTCTCTCTCTCTCTTTTTTATTTTTATTTTTGAGACAGGGTCTCACTATGTAGTTGTGGCCTTGAACTTACTGTGTAGCCTAGGCTGACCTCATATTTGCTGTAATCCTCCTGCCTCAGCCTCCTGGGTGCAGGGACTACAGGCATGCGCCACCAAGCTTCCTGTACAGCTCTGCAGCCAAGCACTGCTAGTGTTTGCCTCCTGATGCTCTTTGTACTTCCCTGATGCTGCTCGGCCTCCCACAGTCCTTCTTCCCTTCCTTTCCCTGGGAGTGTGCCCAGTGTGTGTGTGGGGGTGTGTTCTTTGGGTAGACTTTTTTTGTTTTACGCAGCAGCTCAATCTCTGTCCTGGGGACGTCTCCTGTGAGTCTCACTCAGGCAGCACTGATCCAGCTAACGTATTGCTTAGGACAGGACCTATGCCTGCATGCCTTGAGTGCCCCAGTTCTTTCTCCTTGCTGGTTTGTGACACTCTGACTAGGTTTTCTCTGTGTCTCTGTACTTTTTTTTTTTTTTTTTTTTTCCAAATCCATTTTATTTCAAGGATAGAAAGAAAAAAGAAAAAAACCTACAACAAAATTTCAAAACATGTCAATGAGGGGGCAAAAATGGTACATACATTGCACATTATCATCCCCAAATCATTCACCCAGAGCACAAGACATCTGCATTCAGTTGTCCAAACAATACCAGCACAAATCTTTCTCTTCAGTGAGCTCAGAGAAATCAGTAGTAAACTATCGTAATGATTTTTTTACATTTATATGCATACACATATACATGTTTTTTTCTTTCAGCTTCTCACATTAATTGTGCCTCTGTATGTATTGGTCACTTTTCTCTCTGCAAAAAGTCTCAGTTCAGCTGGGAGTGGTTGGCACATGCCTGTAACTCCAGCACTTGGAGTCTGAAGCAGGTGAATTGCTGCCAGTTCGAGGCCAGCTTGGTTTACAGAGACTTCAAAGGCAGCCTGAATTACAGAGTGAGGCCCTGTATAACACAAAACAAAACAAAACAAAACAAAACCACTTCTCTGTGACAGCCAGACTTGGTGGCACACGTCTATAATCCCAGCACTCTGGAGTCTAAAGCAGGAAGATCACTGTGAGCTCAAGCAGAGCCTGAGCTACACAGTGAGACTCTGACTCGAAACAAAACAAAACAATGACAGCCCAAAAGTGAAACCTCTCTGTCACTCTCCAAGGGCCTAAAGGATAGTCTGTACCTAAGCAAAGCACATGGAATTCCTTATGGCCCATCGATTTTCACTCAGTTCTTTTCTTTTTTGAGACAAGGTTTCATTATGCAGTTTAGGCTGGCCTTGAATTCACTTTGCAGGACAGACTTTCCTTTGACTGGAGGCAATTCTCCTGACTCAGCCTCCTGAGTGCTGGGATTATAGATGTGCGCCCCCACACCTGGCCTGTTTTTTTCTAAAAAAAAAAAAAAAAGTTTCTTAGCACATGTTTGCAGTACATAATGATCACGTTCATCCTGGGGAGCTGGCATGTGGACACACAATCTCAATTCTCTTTATATCGCCTTCTTACCCCTTCTCTGCCCCTTTATTTCCTGTTGGTTCATCTAAATGCTATTTCAGGGACACCCCCCCCCCCAGTCCTTCTTGATTGCTGCTTCCTGAACCCGGGCCAGAGTCTGCCGAAGTCTTCCAGCCTTGTCTCTCTGGGGGAGGAAGAGGGCAGGCCTGTGTTAGCCACCTCTTCATTCTCAGGACTTGGTACAAGGCAGGGCATTCACAAAATGTAACGAATTTGAGAAACTGGCAAACTATTTCACCAGGAACCAAGGCACAGCCGGTACGCTGAACAGAACCCGGAGGGATGTGACTGAGCCCCTGCTTCCTGGCCATCAGGTCTCCTGGGGTCCAGTAGCAGGCCAGGATGCATACCAGATCACAACCCAGTGCAGAAGGACAGAGCCCACCCTGCTGGTGCCTTTCCCAGAATGCTAGCAGGGAAGAGAGGGGCCCAGACAGAAGCAGGAGGGCGAGCCTTGGAGGAGGCATGGAGTGCCACCCAGGAGAAAGAGCAGGGTGCAGTCCTAGGCTCCTGGCACAGACCCAGGCAGGCGGAGCGGGGAGACTCATTCATCCAGGGCCAGCCCAGAGCCAGCTGGGCCGGCAGGCTGGCCCTACCACGGCTGGGAGGGGATTTCCTCAGGCTCCCTCCTCCGGGGCCAGTGGGTTGGTTAGCAACCTGTTGGGAAGATTTTAGTTCGGGGAGGGACAAAAAAGTGCCTGGCAGGCGGGAGTTCATTTGGCCCGGGACAACCAGAACGTGAGGTCCTGCCTGTGTTGTTACCTGGGATTCTCCTGCCTCGGGCCCCCAGAGGTAAGATGCAAGCAGGGGGCAGGTGGACAGAGGTGGGGTGTCAGGAGAGTGGGGAGGTGCCCAGGAAGCGCCTGGCATTAAAACCTGCGCCGGCGCTGGAGGGGCTGGATGCAGGGACAGGGTGCTCCCTGGAGATCCTACCTTCCCTTCCTTCCCTTCCGGAGTAATGTGGAGTGGCTGCCTTGGGTCCTGCGACTTTCATTTTAAAAGTTTACAGCACGTCAGGCCAGGAGCCAGGGACTGTCTTCCAGGGAAATGGGGGTGGCGGGTGAGTGGGGGTGGGGTGGGGGGGGAGGGGCGATGCCCAGGTCATTTGAGCCTCTGTCCTCACCTGGTGAAATCACTCACTTTCTTGCCTGTCACATTCTCCCTGGCACCCTCGGCCTTCCAAAAAAAATTTTGGGGGGTGGGAGGTGGGGGTGGGGGATGAGAGTGCTGGGAATGGAACTCAAGACTTCACATGCATGCTAGGTAATTGATCTACCACTGAGCTACACCCTCAGGTTGCTCCAAAGGAGCCAGAGGTGAACACTGCAGACCACAGTTGCAGGGAATCTCCGCTTCTTCCATCAAGGCGACTTCCCCAGGCTTGTTTATTTCCTCCTTCCTGGTATGGGCTGCTGAGTGGTTTCACCCAATCATTTATTAGTGCGCATTTGTTTATTCATTGTTTGAGCTTGTACTTGGCCTCTCTCGAGGTGGGGAAGGAGGAGGTTGCACAGTTTCTGTTCCTGGGAATAAAAAGTCCCTGAAATGTATCCATAAACATTTGATGATCTTCTACGAGCTGGCAGTAGATAGCATGGTGGGAAGCTATTTTGGAGTCACAGAGAGACTTGGATTTGCATTTCTCTTTTTGGATTCATATTTCGTGTCTCCTTTTTACTTCCTGAGCCTCAGTTTCCTCATCTGTAAAATGCTATTTTAATGAAGATGATGGAGACGTGAATATCAAGCACCAGGTGCGTTGCTGCTGGGCGGATCACGGCGCCTGGATAAACATCTGCTTTCTCTGTGACCCCCTTCCTGCCACGCTCCTCCCTAACTGGCACCTCCCTTGCCTTGGGCTCATAAACACCTATAAGACAACCCCTGCCCTTGAAAGCACCTGGGCAGACTGGCAAATACAGAACTGGGCAGTGGGCGGAGGCAACGAAGGGACCCAGGGGCGGAGAGACCTATAAATGGGGCTGAAGAGGGCCTGTTCCAGCTGCTGCCGGGGCTGGGTCAGACTTGAGGACTTTCTTCTTTCTTTGTCTTTTTGAGACAAGGTCTCACTAAGTGACAGGAGCTCCCAGTGCCTAAACCCAACTCTGTCAGGCCTCAGGGCAAAGACTTTTAAATGAATTAGCTGAAGAAATCATAACTGTAATGATGCTGTTCTCACTTTACAGATGAAGAAATGAAGTGGTTAGCAGATTTGCCTAAGGACACATGGCTAATAATTAAGTAATAGATCTAGAATGAAAGACTTGGGTATTAGACTCAACTCCACGCTCTGCCTGACTCCCTACATCCCCTTTCTCTGTACTAGCAAGCCCCAGAGAGGGCGCCAGCATGCCCTAACGACCTGCCCCTTCCCGTGCGCCTCTAGCTCGGGGCTGCTTCACCCAGGCAGGGAGGCCACACTCCTTGGGTTCATTAATCCACTCACTCCTGTGTCATTCCTGCAGTCAGGTGCGGCTCAGGGACTGCAGGTCCCAAGAGGGCAGGGGTCACGTGTGTTGTTCACAGTTCTATCACCAGCACCTTGTATGGCCCAGGTATAAAAATGCTCGGAGAATCTTTTGTGCCTCCATAAAGCTGACGAATGTTTACTGAAGTATTTATTGGGTCTTAGGGATTCAAAGATGAATAAAACAGAACTTCTACGCTCAGAATGCTCAGCCTTGAGGAGACAATTATAAAGCACAGCAGATCCCTAGACACAAGCAGAGGCTGCTGAAAGCCCTAAGAGGGCCATTTGATTCTACTGGGGCCACTCCGTCCCCTACGATGTCCTCAGTGCCTAGCACAGGGCCAGGCACATGGCAGATGCTCAGAAAGGCTTTGCAGAGGAGGTGCAGAGTTGGAGGGGCATTGAGACTTCCCTGAGAGGGCAAGTTGGAAAGTGTTCTGACCATGAGAGCCGCTCCTGAAGGTCTTAGTGGACTGTGGGGGCTGGGACTGCCGGGGCTTGGTGTGGCTGGAGTGCCAGGCGTTTGGGGGAAAATGACAAACAGTGAAAGTGCATCAGTAGGCATCGGGAAACCCTTGGCACCTTGGTAAGGAACCTAGATGTCATATTTGTATTTTGGAAGGTGACTGGTGCAAGGAGGATCTAAGAGATGCTGATGGGTGGGGAGCAAGGTTTTCAGGTCCAGTGTGGAGCCCTTGTGTCAGAAGAAATAACCCTTCCTTTTTGGGACATCCTGATGGTTTGTTAGTAAACAGCAACTCGAGTTGTTCTTGTCCTGCTTTTTTTTTTTTTTTTTTTTTTTTTTTTTTTTTGTCTTTTTGAGACAGGATCTCGCTATGCAGTTCAGGCTGGCCTTGAGCTCACTTTGTAACCCAGGCTGGTCTTGAACTCCCAATGATCCTCCTGCCTCAGCCTCCTGAGTGCTGGGGTTACAGGTGTGAGCCACCATGCCTGGCTCTACTCTTGTCCTGCTTTATTGGTACCTTATTCTCAGCTGTACATTAGGTGATATAGCTAACTGTTGCTTCTAATACAAGTACTGAGCTGTGTGAATCATCTAAATTTATATAACTTAGAGTCAATACAAGGAATTTTTATTTTGTTTTATTTTGGAGGGAGTGGTAAGCACTATCAGTGAGCTATATCTCCAGACTTTTGGTTTTATTTTGATACAGAGTCTTGCTAAGTTTCCCAGGCTGACCTTAGACTTGTGAGCCTCCTGTCCTCGTCTCCCAAGCTGGGATTATAGGCCTGTGCTTCTGTGCCTGGCAGATTCAAAGGTATTCTGTTCGCTGATTTGAAGTCCCATTTGCTTTCTGAAGTAAGAGTGTGGAGACGGAGCTGTAGATGGGCTGCCAGGAATCATATCCAGCTCTGTGTGTGCCCAGGGAAGGCATGTGGACTATGCCCATCATTTTAGAAATGGTATCTTTGAGGGAATCTGTTTTCAGATCTTCAGTTTCCTTCGGTACTGCTCCTTAAAATGAGTCTGCTTGTCTCGATTCTCAAAAGTTCTCTTTTGAAACTTTGCTTTTCATTTTTCTCTCCTTTGGTTTTACAAAAATTAATCATATCAGAAGGGCAATTGGAGAGCGCTCTGTTCCTGAAAGTGAGTGTGCAGAAGAGATTAATTGTGAGATAAACCGAAGAGGGTCATGCTGTACCACAGACTCATGGTATTTATTTTATTTGAAAATACTTGTTTGGCTAGGCAAGGTGGTCTGTGTCTGTAATTCTAGCACTCTGGAGGCTGAAGCAGGAGGATTGCCAGCAGTTTGAGAGTAGGTAGGAGGCTGAGGCCAGTCTGGGGTACACAACCGTGAATACATAGCAAGACCCTATCTCAAAAAACAAACAAAACAAAACAAAAGAACAAAATTGTTGTTTTCATTAGAAATGTGTATTTTCCCAAAAAGTTTTTTTACTGCCTCATCTATAATGTTTCATAAATAGTACACCACTGAAGTGATCAGCTGTCTCAGTTCACAAACAGGCTCCCCAAAGTCCCTCACCCATAAGAAAACCAACCCAGGGGTTTCTTGGGATGTAGGACTTTTGATACTAGAATTAGGACACTCTTGGGCAAACCAAGGACATTTGGTTACACTATCCTGGACCACCTGCTTCAGAAACCTCTGACTGCTTCTGCTCCTTGGGCTGTGGTTCTGAACCCTAGTGTCACATCAGAATCACGTGGTTATCCTGTTTGTCCAGTTTTATCCCAGATCAATGAACTCAGAGTCTCTGAGGCCAGAACTTGGGCACTGAGATTTTTTAACAAAATTAATTAATTAGATATAGTGTCTTACTGTGTAGTCCAAGCTGACTCAGACTCACTTTGTAGCCCAGGCTGGCCTTGAACTTGCAGGAGTCCACCTGCCTCAGCCTCTGGAGTGTTGGGATTACAGGTGTGCATCACCACACCCGGCTATACTGAGATTTTTTAAATGGGAGGCCAAGATTAAAAACTTCCTGCATCTGAAATTTGAGGTCAGAATCTGGACTCAGGTCTTGGCTCAGAATCTGCATGAGTTTTTAACAGCACTTCCAAGGGGATCTTATGCCCAGCATGTTTTGATAACCAAATACTTATATGATATATGCCTCTCTTGGACACATCGCTGAGTGCTTTGTATGTTTTAGTCTTTGGAAACACATGGGGTGTGTGTGTGGACACTGGCTGTTCTCTAGTCTCCTTATTCAGAAACTAAAAGCCTATAAATTATTCCAACAGATATAGTGTGATTTAGGTTAAAAAGTGAGTCAGTGCCACTACAGTGGTTATGGGTATTCTGTTTCCAGAAGCCCAGTGTGGCTGACTAAAGACAGATCATGTTATTTGCCACTCCTCCATGGGTACGTGGGGTCTGATCTCTTTCTCCTTAATTCCAGGCCAGCCTTGTGATTAGTTTTGACCAATACTACATGACTTAAGCAGTGCTGGGCACCTTTTAAATTCAGGCCTTAAGAGATGAGGCTCTCTTCTAATCCTGCCTCTGCCCTAAGGGTGTGGGCTGCCGTGAGGCCGCCATGCTGTGAAGGAGCCCAAAGGCCCAAAGGTGGGAGCAGACAGGAGGGAAAGGAAGGGGAAAGAGGGAGAAGGGAGGGTCAGGCAGGGGAGGGGAGAGGGTTACAAGAGCACCCACACACCAGACCAGTGGATGAAACCCTCTTAGACCTCCCTGCCAAGAACACAGCCAAATGGATGACCCTGACTGATGGTGCATGGAGCAGCAGAGGTTCTCATCTGGATCCTACCCAGATGCCTGACTCACTGGATTATGACAATAACATGGTGGCGACTTCAAGGCACTAAATTTTGGAATGATTTGTTACACAATAGCTGCCAGCATAACAGAACCACCAGACAGAATGACATATCACATGAGTCTGTTTTCCCTTAATAGTTTGTTTTGTTGAGATGGGGTCTCTCTATGCTGCCAAGGCTGGTCTCCAACTGTGGGGTTCAAAAATCCTCCTGTGCCCCTAGGTACCTGCTACCACACCTGGCCTTCCCATGAACAGTAATCACTTTTGTAGATCTCCATAGAGTAAATTACAGGCATCTCACCTGAAATAATTCCTCTCACTAATCTCTACCTCTGTTCTCACTCCTGCCTGTCCTGCAAAACAAAGCCAGTAATCCAAGTCTTGTGTTCTACCCTAAGTGTGTGTGCTGAGCAGCAGAGGGGTTGATAGTTTCCTCAAACTCCAGCATTCTTGTGTGTGTGTGTGTCCAGCCTTCTTTATAAAATTCAGCTTCTATGTCTCTCTCCAACCAACTCTATTCCGGAAACACAGCAACCTCTCTCCTGCCTCAGGGCCTTTGCACTTGCCCTTCTCCTTTCTGGCCCTTTTTCTCCTTTCTTTTCCAACACCTATACATGAAGCAGCCTCCTTCAAATAAGTAGCACCTCCCTAGGATGTCTCCCCAGCCCTCACCTCCTTCCTGTTTATTCGTTCCCAGCATTTATCACATTTAAAAATATTGAGCTTGTTTATTGTGTATTTCTCTACTACCTCCAAAAGAGTCAGGAATGTGTGTTTACTCCTCCATATGTACCCATACCAGAGTGCCTGGCACAGAAAAGGGCCCCATCAGAGTTTGCTGAGTGAGTCACCAAATGAAGAAGGAAGAAGGGAGAGGAGGAATGTGGAAAGAGCACTGACAGCACAAGAGTCTAAAACCCTGTGTCCTGCTCCACTTCTGCCCCTGCTTGTCTGAGGACCAGCCCCTCACCTTGTCCCCCAGTGTGCCGGGGACCAGGGGTGCTTATGTGCACTGCGCACCAGAAGCCTTCACATACTTGTATTCATGAATCCCCTTAAGGATTTTGAAAATGCTGTGTTCCTTCCAGTCCAGTTAATTTTAATTGTTGGCTGGGCTATGGATCAAACCCAGGCCTCATGCAAGCACCATCGCCATCCACCCTCAGCCTCTCTCATATATTTTTTTTTTTTTTTTTTTTTGTCTTTTTCATTTTTATCGGTACCAGGGATCGAACTCACGACTGCCTGCTTGCAAGGCAGGCGCTTATGCCGCTGAGCTAAATCCCCAGCCCCACTCTCATATATTTTTAAAAAATTTCATTTTGTTTCGGGATTGGGCAAGGGGTTTGTTTTGTTTTTTGGAGGCAGGGCCTGTTTGTGTTCCAGGCTGGGTTTGAACTCACTGTGTACTCCAGGCTGGCCTCAAACTCACAGCAATCTTCCTGCCTCAGCCTCTTGAGTGCTGGGATTACAGGCAGGCGCCACCATGCCCGGCTGTGCCACCATGTTCAGGTGATCTTATTTTCTCAAGAGCCTGAAATGATACTATTGAACAGAGCCAGTTTCTTGAATTAGTGAGGAAACGGCTCAGGATCGGGGTTCTATTTCAGCCCGTGCCCTGCAGTGCTAGGGTTTTAAATTCATTAAGCAGTGTGCCTGATTTGTGGGCTTCTTCCAGACTTGTATTTCTTTGTGAACATAAGGCACCTATCAAAGCTCATCACATTCAGGAGGGATGATGGTGGATGATGGTGCACTAGGATAGTGCAAATCACAGGCTGAGGCCCAGGTCTCCTGCAGCAGCAGGTACTGTCTTTACTATTCCTGATATTCGTGCAGGGTGCCCCAGTGTGTGCAGTGTGTGACGGAGCTCAGCGAGTCGCATGCATGAGGAGGGGTGCAGGAGCTGAACCCAGATAACTAGCTTTGTCTTTCTGCTTGATGTCATTGGATATGCAGTCATGAGGGTCTCTTTTGGTCTTGGCTGTTCATCTGAAAAATGGGCATAATTATGATATCCTCACAGGGTGGACAGCAAGATCCACTGGCATAAGAATCCACCAGGGCTGGGGATTTAGCTCAGCGGCATAAGCACCTGCCTTGTAAGCAGGCAGTCGTGAGTTCGATCCCTGGTACCGATAAAAAAGAAAAAGACAAAAAAAAAATTAAAAAAAAAAAAAAGTGGACATGGTTCTGTAGACCAGGAAGGGTGAGGCATCATGATAATCTTTTGTGTGTGAGCCAAGCTCTGGTCTCTTCCTCTGCCCCCAGCATCACAAGTGGGCAGAGGTTCAGGAGAAGGTCAAGGCAGGGTCTTTTATTTATTTTCTTTCTTTCTTTCTTTCTTTCTTTCTTTCTTTCTTTCTTTCTTTCTTTTTTTCTTTCTTTCATACGGTTGATGATCTGCCTAGAGTACATAATACCGCCTGATTTCAGGACACTGTGTGTGGTTTGGTTTGGTGGTGCTGGACATCTAACCCAAAGTCTTTAGGCGCGCAGTCTACACCGGCGATGCTACGCTCAGTCCTGAATCTACATTTTATTTTATTTTTTTGGTACCAGGGATCGAACTCACAACTTTGCACTTGCCAGGCAGGCACTTATGCCACTGAGCTAAATCCCCAGCCCCACACTTTATTTTTAACGTAACTATGAGTTAGCTGCCACCTTACATCAAACGGGCTCTATGCTGGAGACTGGGGTGGATTTGCGAGAAGCCCGTTGGTGCCCAGAGTAGGTGGTGCTGGTGGTACCTGGCCTGCAGCTAAGTACGCTGCCCCTGGTCGGGAGAGCGCCCCACAGGGCACTCCCTCGAGGTACCGTTCAGATCAACCTACTTTTTTTGCGGGGGGAGGGGGGGGCAGGCAAATCGCCACTCCCAGGCATCCCGCAAAGTAAGCGGGTCACTTTAGGGGCAACCTTTACCGACTCAAAAATTCGCCTCGCGTTAGCAGTGAGGATTCGGGCTTCACTCACTCGGAATAGTTATTTTCCTTATTCATAAGTTTAACGCACGGGGCAGGGTCTTTAAACCGCAGGGAGCCGTTGGGAGGCTCAGCGGCTCACTTATCTTAGTTCCTCCTCTCACCACGGAGGCTAAGTATGCTTTGCTTCAGGAAAAAGAAAAACCTTTAGAAATGAGGGTTCGTAAAGGCACTTTTGTTTTTAAATCTCTTGCCTATTTATTCCCAGTGTGTCCTTAGAGATGGAGCAGAAAGAAAGCAACTACAATCACAAGCCCATAATATTGAAAAGCCAGTTCTTAATTTCTGTAGCTAAAAAAGCATCCTTTCAAGCCATAACCACAGAAAAATTGCCGGGGCCTTGGGATCTGGGTGTAATAACAGTTTGCAGTGGGAAGAGGGAAGCTGTTAATCTCTGTGGCCCAGATGCCCAGTCCACAGCCTCTCCCATTACCCAGGTTGCCTAGCAACACTGCCCAAAGCCTCCCCACCAGGCAGCCATTGGGTACACCCTGTATACCCTGCACAGCCGGCTGCCTGGCCTCCTGGGCTCCTTGGCCACATCAAGGCTGGGCTCACCCTGGGAAGGGGCCTGCCTGGTACCAATGAATGTGTTGGACCAGCTGTGTTTAAAAAAAAAAAAAGAACAATCCAGACATTTAAATCTGCTTGTTTGAATGCAGCTTGGAAACAGCACCAGCTTATGACCAAAAAAAGTGTCTTTCACTGAAGAAGAAGTGTCCTAAGTATGCTGGCCTTGACAGTGCCCTCCTCGGCCGGCGAAGAAGGGAAGGTGAGCTGACCTAGTCCTCCAGAATCTTGCTCAGGCCCAGGGCGCTTGTTCTTATCTGGTCTTCCTGTGGTAGCAATGGGCACAGGGGTTCTTCCAGCCTCATCCCCCCAGGAGTGGTGATGTGTCATTCTTCTAGAGCTTACACTTGGGTATTCCCAGGGTCTAGTGTAGGTCTGCCTCAGCACCCAGAAGAAGAGGAATATAACAATATGCAAATAAGCAAAATGAAGATGTTCACTTCCAAAATACTCGGTGCTTAGAAATCTTGAGGGCGTCGGAACTCATAAGAGCTTTGGGGTGAGATGCTCAGGCTCGTCTCTCATCCTCTGTGAGAGTTAATTGATTGTGTCACTTTGAGTGAGAAATGCCCAACTAAAATTGGGTCAGCATAGTTTAGGTGTGGCTGAAGAGACTTTCTGAAAACAGAAGGCCCAGCCAGGGTCTGAGCAGCACCGACCAATGGGCCTGCTGCCTGAGTGGAATAAAAGGGAAACGAGACAGGAAGGCTAACTTCTGTTTTTTCAGAGGAGCTCGGGCCTTACCTTCACCTTGGACATTGTCTTTTGGCTTTCAGCTCAGATATTGCAGCCTCCCTGCAGAGAGCCTGTGGCCTCCTGAGATAGACTCACAGGGGACTCTACATGAGTTCCGGGCCTTCCACCTTTGACTGGATCCTTCGAATCTCCACTGTGCAGCATTTCTCTACCGTCTGTGGGTAGCCATTATAAGCCTACCTTGAGAATCCTTATATATTTATGTATCTTGCATTAAATCTATTTCTCTAGTGAGCACTGACGGATACAGATTTTGGTTCTGGGAGTGGCTCTAGAGAAACAGAATTGTAAAAATGAAATTCTGATTCTGTAGGGGCTACCCATGGTCCTGGTGTGAACTGTTTAAAATGCAGTGTGCATACACTTGATTATCCTAATTCATCACTTGTGAGATGTGAGGAGTTTAGCAACTCCATGTGTGATATTTTATTTTCAGCAGATTGGAAAATATTATAATGGTGCTGGCTGGTTGCATTTAGCGTCTCTGAACAAACCAGTGAAGGAAACACAATAAGCTTAAAACATCCATAGCGAATTTGATGTCTTCTAACAGTGAGGACAAATTAATAAAGGGAAATAAGGAGCTAAAATTCTCAGATCCAGACACACATAAAGAATTTAAAAGTTTCTAAGTGTGTCCTGAAAAAAGTTTCTAAGTGTGTTCCTTTAGCCGCAGGGCTGAGGCTGCTGAAACCCAAACACCTCATCATTCGATTGGCTAAACTATGGTGTAAGTTTAACGCTCAGCCTCAAGGTGAGGACACTGATTTGAAAAGAACAGGACACCACAAACTGGGATGGGGATTTTTGGGAAAATCCTGATGAGGCGGGAGATGTTGAGCTCCTGGACTCTAATGAGACTATTTGGGCAGGGGAAGAGATTTCTCCACCCACAGCGTCGGAGGCATCCCCAACCCCACCCCGGGTGGTGTTGGTCTCCCCCAGCATACCAGAGGAAACTAACCCAGTGTTGACCAAGCATAATAATTCTGACATCCCTCAGGACGCACCCTCACCACCCACTTTACCTCCAGCCCAATACCAGGCTCAAATCACAAAAGGCTCCAAAGGGTGATGTACACAATAAGAGCTGTCAGAAGGTCTGCTATTTTCCCAAAAACTTGTTGAGTTTTCTAACTCTTATAAGCAGAGACCTGATGAATTTAAGAGAGAGAATGGATTTCATGGGTGTGGGTAAACATACCCATAACGGTGGTCGTAACATACACTTAGATTAGAGTTTGTCAGATATGGGCCTGTTAAGCAGAGACTGGAATTTAATGTTGCAGTTTGTGGAGTTAAAAAAAAGATATTAGTAATTTATTTGACTGGTTGGCAGAAGAATTGGTCAAAAGATGGTCCACTGTGAATGAATTAGAGATCCTGATTGTTCGCTGTCGATGGAGGATTTAGAGGCTTAGGGAAATAAGAATGCTGGGATGGATTTCTCAGGTTAATCCTAATCTGCCACACTGGGATGATCCAGAAAATGAATCCTTTACTAAAGCTTGAGAAACAGATTCATGAGGGGAGCACCGTTACCCCTAAAGAGCCTTGTCACTGTTTTTCTCTGTATGCCAGACCTTATAGTAGGGACCACGCTTACTCAGTTGGGAAACTTAAGATCGGTGTGTTTAATTGGATGCTGGAGTGACAGGAGTCAAGTGGCAGCACTAAATCACCAGAGGGAAGGTGTACATACTTACCATAAGGGACAGCAGAAGCAGAACAGTGACCACAATGGTCTGACACATGTAGACCTATGGCATTCGTTGCGTAGCCCTGATGTTCCCAAAAATGAAATAGAGGCGAAGTATACAAAGCTTTTACTAGATTTATAGAATAAAAAAAAATTAAGTACAAATGAACAGAAACCTACTTCAAATCATAATAACAGGCATTTACAGCCCCTTAGCCAGATCCTAGATTTGAGCCAGTTTCAGGCCCAGAACCCCATATCCCATGGAGAAAAGACCCTGGTGTACCACCAAAACTTTATATAGTCAAATCTGCCATCCTTCCCCAAAGAAACCTAAGGCCTTTTACTAGGGTACATTGAGAGAAGGGAAATGGTCAGATATTTCATGGGCTACCAGACACTGTTTGTGAACTAATGCTTATTCTAGGAGATTCAAAATGGCACTGTGGCCTTCTAGAAAGAGGAGGGCCATGGAATCAGGTGACCAATGGAGTTTTAGCAAAGGTCTGACTCACAGTGGTCCAGTAAGTTCTCCAATCCATCCTGTAGTCATTTCCCCTGTTCCAGAATACATGATTGGGATAGACACACTTGGCAGAATCTTCATATGGGTTCCTTAATCTGTAGTGTGAGGAGTATTATGGTTGGACAGGTCAAATGGAAGCCGTTAGAGTTACCTTTGCCTGGTAAAATAGTAAACAAAAAATAATATTGCATCTCTGGAGAGATTGCAGAGATTAGTGCCCTATCAAGGACATTAATCAAGGATGAGGGTGTGGTGGTTCTCAGTGCATTTCCATTTAATTCTCCCATTTGGCCTATGCAGAAGGTGGATGGGGGCTGAGGATGTAGCTCAGGGCCAGGGATATAGCAGCACAGTGCTTGCCTGGTTGAGAGTTTGATTCCTTCCCCCCCACCCCCCAAAAAAGGAAGGGGTGGAGAATGACAGTGGATTACTATAAATAAAATCAAGTGATGACTGATTACACTGTTATACCAGATGTGATGCCCTTGCTTGGACAGATTGAAAATTTGCTTTCAACTGGTAAGATCAGAAATACACCTGCACTGTCCTACCTCAGAGTTATATAAACTCTCCAGCCCTGTGCCACAATTTAGTTTGCAGGGATTTTGATGCCTTTTTCTCCCATGAGGTACACACTGGTCTACTACACTGATGATACTATGATGATTCGACTAGTCACTCTGGGTTCCAACCATGCTGGATTTGTTAGTAAAGCTTTTGTGAGCCAGAGGATGGGAAATAAATCCAACTAAAATTCAACATCCCTCCACTTCAGTGAAATTTTAGGGGTCCAATGGTTTGGGATACGTAGAGATATCGCTTCTAAGGTAAAAGATAAATTGTTGCATCTGGCTCCTCCTACAATTGTAAAAAGGGCACAGCTCCTAGTGGGTGTATTTGGATTTTGGAGATGACACATTCCTCACAATGGTGTTTTACTCCAGCCAATTTACTGAGTGACTCAGAAAGCTACTAATTTTGAGTGGGACCCAGGAAAGAGCAGGCTCTCAACAGGTCCAGGCTGCTGTGCCATATGATCCAGCCGATCCACTGGTACTTGAAGTATCAGTGGCAAGTAGGGATGCTGTTTGGAATCTCTGGCAGTTGAGTTGCAGTGGAAGTCTTTAGGATTTTGGAACAAGGCTCTGCCATTATCTGAAGACAACTACCTTCCCTTTGAAAAACAGCTCTTGACCTATGACTGAATGCTTGGCCATAGGACACCAGGTTACCATGTGACCTGAGTTTCTTATTATGAGCTGGACATTATCTGATTCACTAAACCACAAAGTTGGTTGTGCATAGTAACAGTCCATTAGTAAATGGAAATGGTACATACATGGTTGAGCCAGAACAGGTCCAGAGGGTATAAGTAAGTTCCATAAAGAAGTTGCCTAGATGTCCATGGCTCCTACTCTTGCTTTTGTTTCCCAGCATGCACCTGTGGCCTCATGAGCCATATCATATGATCAGCTGTCAGAAGAAAAGTCTGGTGCTTCCTGTATGGATAATTCCACATCTTATGCAAGTACCACCTGCTAGTGGGCAGCTGCAGCATTCCAGGACATCCCTGGAGGACAGTGGTGAAAGGAAATTGTCACAGTAGTCAGAACTTCAGGTCATGCACCTGGAAGAAAAAATGGTCAGATGTGCAACTGTATACTGATTCATGGGCTGTAACCAATGGTCTGGCCAGATGATCAGAAACTTGGAGGGAACATGACTGGCAAATTGATGACAGAGATATTTGGGGAAGAGTTATGTGAATAGACCTCTCCATATGGGCAAAGGCTGTAACAATATTTATCTTCCATGCTCACCAAGAAATGACCTTGACAGAAGAGGCTTTTGACAATCTAGCGGCTAGGCTAGCCTGTTCTACAGATAGCAGCCAAGCTCTTTCTTCCCCCACCCCTGCCATTGCTCAGGGGGATCATGAACAGAGTGGCCATGGTGGCAGGAAAGGAGGTTATGCATGGGCCCAGCAACATGGACTCTCATTCACCAAGGCTGATCTGGCCATAGATACTTCTGAATGTCCAATATGCCACCAGCAGATACCAACACTGAGTCCCCCATATGGCATTGTTCTCCGGGATGATTAGCCTGTGAGTTGGTGACAGGTTGATTATATTAGACCACTTTCATCATGCAAAGGACAGTGCTTTATCCTTACTGGTACAGATACTTATTCTGGATTTAGATCTGCCTTCCCTGCATG